ATCCTCTGCATGCCTGGGATGAAGCCCACTTGGTTGTCGATGAATTTATTTTGCTTGACAAGCCCCTGGATTCGATTGGCTGAGATTGTTGTTGAGAATTTTTGCATCTATATTCATAAGGATACTGGTCTGTAGTTTCTTTTTTTTTGTTGCATCCTTTCCTGGTTTGGTATCAGGGTTATGTTCCACTTTCATAAAATGTGTGTGGGAGAATTCCATCTGTCTCGATGTTGTGGAATAACTTCTGCAGGATAGGCACCAGTTCTTCTTTGTAGGTGTGGTAAAATTCGGGTGTGAAACCATCTGGTCCAGGACTTTTCTTTTAGGAAGTTTTTTATATGCTGTTCGATTTCAGTACTTGATATGGTCTGTTCAGGAATTCTATTTCTTCCTGGTTGAGCCTAGGGAGGCTGTGTGTTTCTAAGAAATTGTCCATTTCCTCCACATTTTCCAGTTTGTGTGCCTAGAGGTTTTTGTAGTATTCATAAATTATATCTTGTATCTCTGTGGCATCAGTTGTAATTTCTCCTATATTGTTCCTGATGGAGCTTATTAGAGATTTCTTTTTCTGCTTTTCATTAGTCTAGCCAATGGTGTGTCAATTATGTTTATTTTTTCAAAGAACCAACTTTTTGTTTTATTCATCTTCTGTATAGTTTCCCTGTTGTCAATTTCGTTTAGTTCTGATTTGATCTTAATGATTTCACTTCTTCCGCTGGGCATCCTCATATAGCCAACTAATCTTCGACAAAACAGACGAAAACATACACTGGGGAAAATAATACTTATTCAATAAATGGTGCTGGGAAACTGGATAGTAGAAGACTGAAACAAGACCCACAACTTTCACCTCTCACAAAAATCAACTCATGCTGGATAACAGACTTGAACCTTAGGTGTGAAATTATTAGAACTCTAGAGGAAAATGTTGGAAATACTCTTCTAGACATTGGCCTAGGCAAAGAATTTATGAAGAAGACCCCAAAGGCAATTACAACAGCAACAAAAATAAACAAATGGGACCTAAAGACATTAAAAAGCTTCTGCACAGCCAAAGAAACAGTCAAGAGAGCAAACAGACAACCCACAGAATGGGAGAAAAATTTTGCAAGCTACACATCTGATAAAGGGCTGATAACTAGAATCTATTTAGAACTCAGGAAAATCAGCAAGAAAAAAATCAAACAACCCTATCAAAAAATGGGCAAAGGACATGAACAGAAACTTCTCAAAGAAGACAGAAGAATGGCCAACACAGATATGAAAAAATGTTCAACATCTCTAATCATCAGGGAAATGCCAATCAAAACCACAATGAGATATCGCTTAACTCCAGTGAGAATGGCCTTTATGAAAAAGTCCCCAAACAACAAATGCTGGCGTGGATGCGGAGAGAGAGGAACCTCCTACACTGCTGGTGGACTGCAAACTAGTTCAACCTCTGTGGAAAGCAATATGGAGATACCTCAAAGCGATACAAGCAGATTTACCATTTGATCCAGCAATTCCACTACTGGGCATCTACCCAAAGGATCAAAAGTCACTTTATGAAAAAGACACCTGAACTTGAATGTTTATAGCAGCACAATTTACAATTGCAAAGCTATGGAAGCAACCCAAGTGCCCATCAATTCATGAGTGGATTAATAAAATGTGGTATATGTATACCATGGAATACTACTCAGCTTTAAGAAACAATGATGATACAGCATCTCTTGTATATTCCTGGATACAGCTGGAACCCATTCTACTAAGTGAAGTATCTCAAGATGGAAAAACTAGCACCACATGTACTCACCAGCAAATTGGTATTAACGGATCAACACCTAAGTGGACATATAGGAGTAACATTTATTGGGTGTCGGGAGTGTGGGAGGAGGGAGTAAGGAATGGGTATATACAACCACAACGAGTAAGAAATGCAAAGTTTGGGGGATGGACATGCTTGAAGGTCTTACTCGAGGGGGGAGGGGAGCATGGGCAATATAAGTAACCTTAACATTTGTACCCCCATAATATGCTAAAATAATAAAAAAAAGAAACTTAAAAAAAAAAGGTTTTTGGTTTATTTTAGGTTTTGACTAGTGAAATAATCAAGGAAGAAACATATTCATCTCTCCATAGAGGTCTTTTTTTTTTTTTTTGAGAACAGAGTCTCGCTTTGTTGTCCGGCTAGAGTGAGTGCCGTGGCGTCACGCCTAACTCACAGCAACCTCAAACTCCTGGGCTCAAGCGATCCTGCTGCCTCAGCCTCCCGAGTAGCTGGGACTACAGGCATGTGCCACCATGCCCGGCTAATTTTTTATATATATATCAGTTGGCCAATTAATTTCTTTCTATTTATAGTAGAGACGGGGTCTCGCTCTTGCTCAGGCTGGTTTTGAACTCCTGACCTTGAGCAATCCGCCCGCCTCGGCCTCCCAAGAGCTAGGATTACAGGCGTGAGCCACAGCGCCCGGCCCATAGAGGTCTTTAAAACAGCATAGTAGCTGCATATAAACTACACATTACATTTTCAATAAATTAATAAAATAATTTGTCCCTTCTAAATCTCATGTTGAAATTTGATTCCCAATGATGGAGGTGGTGCCTAATGGGAGGTGTTTGGATTATGGGGGTGGTTCCCTCATGAGTGGCTAGATGCCATCCTTCTGATAATGAGTTCTTACTCTATTAATTCCTGTAAGATCTAATTGTTTAAAAAAGTATGGCACCTCCTCCTCCCTCTCTCTTGCTCCCTCTTTCACCATGTGACACACCTGCTCCCCCTTTACCTTGCACCTTGATTAGAAGCTTCCTTAAGCCCTCACCAGAAGTGGATGCTGGTGCCATGCTCCTTATACAACCTACATAACTATCGGCCAAATAAACCAATTTTCTTTATAAATTACCCATTCTCAGGTATTTCCTTTACAGATACACAAAATGGACTAAGACTCCGTATTATTCTAAGACAACATCAATACATTACTTCAGCGATGTACAAAGATTCCTTAATACGGCAATATTATAAATGACCATTTCCTTCATTGTTGGACATTTGTATAATGTTTCCATATTTTCACTATCCTAATAATACCTTCATAAGATTGTTGAAAATATAAAATAAGATAAAGTCTTTAAATTACCTCCCGAAAAAAAAAAGCCTGGAAGATATTAATCACAACATGCAACAGCATAAATGACTATTTGTGTTGTTTTTATACTGTTATAGATTAGAATTAAATTATTAAATTTCTCTGTGCAATTTTTTCTGGTTTTTATGCTTTCAAATTAAATAATTTTTAATCTAGAGTCTTTTTATGATTCCTTTTTTAACAATTAATTTTCTAAAACTTCTAGAAATCATATGAAGTTAAGGATAACATTTTTATTTTTCTATTACTGAATCAAATATCTCATATAAAATACATATTTTTCAATAATTTATGCCATCTTCATAATACATAAAATATGTGTTCAATAAAAATAGTTTCAATATGTATTAAAAATTCCTGAACACAAACAGATTGATTTCAGATGAATCTTTGAAATCTTTGAGCAGCAGTGTTACATTTTTTTTGCATTCTTTTTATTTTAGACAACAAAACAAAACATTTTACCAACAGTTGGTAAAATAGTTGGTATCCTAGTTATTAAAACTTTTGTACACAGATTGTCACCAGCTGAGCTAAAACAGCAGCTGTCCACTGGAAATAATTGCAGAAATGTTTTGCCCATTGGCCTGAAATCAAACATATGTTTTCTTACAACAACTAAAATATACCTTTCTTTATTGATATGTGATAATTATCGAAGAGTGTTAACTACAGAGTTATATACCTGGATTGTCAGACCGGCAAAAATTTCAATATCTTGAGAGGTAGGGATTTTGATATATTTTTAACATTTTAAATATTTTATATAATATTATATTCTGGAATAATGCTTTTGACTTATTTTTAATTGTATATTTGTCAAAAGTCATGTCTATACATTGAGAAGAGAGTAAAGAGCTCATTTTACCCCATAACTATTGGTGTTGAAAACTAATTTATATACAACACAGCAAGTAATCTTTAGTTTGGATTGTATTGACTTTTTGTCTCCTTACACTTTTACTTAAGGAATTATGATAGGTTCTACAACTTTTCATACTCTTCTTGTATGGAATCTTCAAGTCCTTCAATTATTATAATTTTTTGTTTGTTTGTTTTTTGAGACAGAGTCTCACTCTGTTGCCCGTGCTAGAGTGTCATGGTATCAGCCTAGCTCACAGCAACCTCCAACTCCTGGGCTCAAGCAATCCTTCTGCCTCAGCCTTCCTTGTAGCTGGGACTACAGGCATGTGCCACTTCTATATATTTTTAGTTTGCCAATTAATTTCTCTCTATTTAGAGTAGAAACAGAGTCTCTCTCTTGCTCAGGCTGGTTTCAAACTCCTGACCTTGAGGGATCTATCCGCCTCAGCCTCTCAGAGTGCTAGGATTACAGGCATGAGCCACCATGCCCGGCCCAATTACTATAAATTTTAAAAAGGAATAATTAGTAAGGCAGCAAAGCTTGAATATTTTGGCTTCTACTAATTTTATCTGTATTATTTTCATGTATGCAGAAAATAATAGTGTCCATTTAGCTTGCATACAAAGGCTTTTGATCGATTTTAGGGTTTCATTAGTGGAATAGTAAAGAAAGAAACATATTCGGCTCTTCAAACAGGTCTTTAAAATAGCACATTTGCCAGTGTGCCTTATTGTTACCGTGCTATAGATAATAGCTGTGAGTTTCTTAGAGAAAGAATAGAATTGATGGGATGTTATTACAAATGCCATTCAAGGTTTGCTAAAATTCTGACACCTAAAAATAAATGCATCATTTATCTTATTAAAATTAAAATAGCAATGGCTCCATATGGCCATTCAGTTTGGCTAGCACATTCTTCCATCAAGCAATCATGACTTCTCAGTAATCTGTGATATTGTCCTTATAGAAAATAAAAAAGGAAATAGAGAAAACATTACCTTCTGTATGGTAATGATTCCTTCTTGTGTATCTTTGTCAACAGAAATCTTGAAAACCCCTAATCCATCACCATCCACAATTTTGTATTCCATTTCAGCATTAGCTCCAATATCTGCATCTGCAGCTTTAATTCTGGCCACAACTGAGGCTACAGGCAATGATTCAGGGACGTTATATTGGTAAGACCCTGTGAAATTAAAAACAAGAAATGAACAAAACCTTATACCAAGCTAACCAATAAAAATTAACATTTGGTTATTTTGCATCATGTTCCTTTAATTTGTTTTTATTTTTTGACAAAAAAAATGCTAAGACAATATGAAACAAAAGACAATTTTCATATAGCCTTAAGAATTTCAATGAGAATGATTAGATATTGATCACTACGTTATAGCAGAAATAGGAGGTCTGAGTAAAGATAAGAATCTCTTATTCTTTTATTTCTAGTGGTGAGAGATATCCTACCTTTCAAAATAAAAATAAATTTATTAAAATAATTATAAACATAATCCATATATAATTTTTTAAATATAATACATATTACAATTTAAATATTAAGAAATAAAAATAGAATAGATTGGGCTTCAAATAGGCAAATACAAGCCTAAATGGTTTTGATAACTTAATGTTGGAATTTACTTACTATTTTTCACTAAGAAAATTACAGAAAAGTAGATAAGAAAGTTTGCAAAAGACAATATTAGTCTTCTTTTAGTTCATAAATTTAACAAGGATAAGAGTTATTTTTGTGGGTTGTATGTTGAACTGATTTGGGGCACAATCATGCAAAGCATAGGCAATAATATTTGAACAGGAAGAGAGCAGAAGAAACTAAAGAATAACTTTTAAAAACTTTTGTTTAACTTTTGTAATCACTTCTTTCTACTGTCCCTTAACTAAAAAAATATTAACTGGGAAATAGCTCAGCACACTGTCCTTTCACCATTTTTCTTTAATCATTTACTTTTTCCTTCCTCCTGCATCTTCTTCCATTTTCTTTTGGTTGTTAAACTGTGGCACTTTTGTACCTTCTTGTGAAGGAAAAGTAAGGATTCTCTTTGAGAGGAATATAGAAAGGAAAATATATCCATATAAAAGGACTATGTTTTAGGCTGAGATTTGTTTATAATTTTCTAAAGTTTGTGAATAGTTACTTTTAAAAATAAATGCTTACACTATATGCTTATTACTTTTGAGTGACTCCTTTCACACATCTAGAAGAGTCCTTAGAAAAGTACAAAAATTCCAAGGTTAGAATAGTAATTTAATGGTAGAGAAAATCCCAGCAAAAATGAAAAAGTCAGTGATATATCCTTGGTTTTCTTCACTTTAATAAGTAGGATAGCATCTAGTAGAAAACCTGTGTTCTATCTTATGAAAGCATGACAGCTGAAACTACTGAAATTCTATGTATCAATTCCTATCATTCCAAGCTTAAACAGAAAAGAAGCACTTAATTTTATTATGAGGCCAGGGTAATTACATTATTACTTTTTAAATTCTAAAATCCCTCTTTCTTCTCCATGACAGCATCAAAATCACAATTAAAGATAGGCTCAATTTTTTTTAAATGCTAAATCAATGTCACTTTAAAAAAAAACATTTTTAGGATGTATTGAAACGTTCATTCTCTAATAACATAAATATTAAAAATACGTAAAATGAAACTGAAAATTCTAAAGTGCAGTATTGTAAGGAAATCATAGCAGTACTCATATTTGCTTAGAAAGCTTCCTTATTTAATATAATTTACTTCTAAGTTTTGTTGGTAGGAGGCTTCGTTCCCTATTTCTATTAGACAAGCATTTTAGAGACATTGTACAGATGTTGTAGACTGTACAATCTCTTGATTTTCTTGAGCATTGTAAAGAAAGACCACACACACTTAGAAATAAAAATTAAAGGAACTACAAAGAGAAGTAGATGAAATGCTTTTTACAAATAGGACACTTCTACCTAGAAAATGTTTTTTAACTTTTTCTTGGTTAAGTCAAAAGCCATTTTGGTCGAAGAAGCTGAATTGAGATCATGTGATTTTCTGGTTTCTAAGATTGATTTCTTTTAAAACACTGAATCTTTACACAAGAAAGATGTTGTATAATTGCTAAACGAATGTTCAGTGCTCATGAACGGGTTTAAAAAATTGTAGAATGAAAAACATGAAAAAAATTATTCTATTTTTAATCTACAAAAATAAAGCAATATTTGTACTGTGTAGAATTAACAAATTGAACATTTTATAGAATTAATTAATTAAGGACTTGAATATTACTAACTGGCCACAACCTTAGATTTACAGAATGTATAAAGAGAATAAATCTTAGAAAAGATTTACATAAACTACATAACATTATGTAGAAAAGACTACATAAACATAACAATTGTCTAGTATTCAAAATGTGAATAAAATAAAAATCATTATATTTAAGATACAAGTAATGCAAATATATGATGGCTTCTATTTCTTTTCAATACCCTTATAATCCATATTACCAAAGTAAAATTATGCCCTTGATTTTGCAATTATGCAACTTTGGGAAAATGCAGTAAGAGAATTATCTGCTTTAGAAATATTAGAAAAAATTCCTTTTAAACATTTTTTTTTATAGACTGACAGGGAAATGAGTGCACTTGCAACACTTAATAAAATAGCTTACTTCGAGGAAAGCGAGGTGGGTTATCGTTGACATCAGTTAGGGTCACGGTGACTGATGTGGTTCCCGACAGTCCTCCATTTTGACCAACCATATCCTTTGCCTGAATAACAAGCAAATACTGGTCTTTAGCCTCTCTATCCATGTTTGGAAGGGCAGTCTTGATGACTCCTGTAAAATTTCAAATCCCAGTAAAACGCATCATGAATCACTGCATTTATACTAACAAAGAACATTGATATAAGTAGCAAGTTGCTGTTGAGTTGTTGTCTTTTTGTTGTTTTGTTTGTTTACTTTAAATAATTTTAATACATATTAAAGACCAAAGGCATATGATAATTTTATACACTGTTACAAAACAGAAAATGTAATGTGGTCTTCTCAATATTGGATATAGAGGATTATCTTTAGGTTTCATGGAAACATGGTTAAGGAAATAAGAATTATAAATAAATAAAATGGCCCTTTATCTAGAATAATGGGAAGTCACCTGTACAAGTACACAGAAATGAACTTATCTCTTTCAGCCTTTCCAACAACTTATCACTGATAACAATTTGTAATCAGTTTCTAAGTTAAGTAATACTCATGCTATCTTTAGCAACTTTATTTTTGTTTAGGTCTGAGCACTCTAAGTGTCAAACTACACACACACACACACACACACACACACACATCAGCAACACATAATATTTTAAGCATTTAAATTATACTTATCAGAGTAGGCCAGATTTTTTTTCCCAACATTTCTCACTTACTCTAATACATTAACAATCGGATGCTCTTGCTCAGTGAGAGCAATCAAGGCTCATTCAATTAGCACCTTCATGGAATCCTTTAGCTATTTACATACTTTATAATTAATATGTGAAATATTACAGTGAAAATGAGAAAAAAATCATATATTCATTAGGTCCAGTTGGTGTCTGATATATAAATATTCTTCTTAGGGCCAAATGGAATTCAGGCTATGAATTTTTCTATTGGTTCTTCAGTACTTCTGTTAACTCTAATTTATAATTAAACATTGACTCCCTTAATACTCATTGTCATCAAACATAAACAATCTTTAACTAAGATTTCTGGGACATACATATTTCCATCTTTTTCTTTTCTTTCTTATTTTTTTCACGTTTATCATTTTCTTTTTGTAATTCTCTTTTTTTGGTAAATTGAGCATTGCTTATCTTGAACATTTTACCAATAAACATATTTTACCTATATGAAAAATATTAATAAGATGAATTATTTTAGGAAAAATGTCCTATTTATCAAGTTTTATGTTTTTATTTCTAGTTATCTCTCATTTTTCCTTCCAATAGCAATATATCTGTGAGCTATCTTTGCATATTTATTATGATAGATAGAAGTACATTACACCTAATCAGCAACAGAAATATTGCAGCCTCATCCTCTCATGATTTTGCTTAGTGGCATCATTTTTGAAAGGAAATATAGTGTCATTAGAAGTCTGGTAGTCAAAGTTTCTCACTTATTTTTCATACATCTAATTATTTCTTATAAGTGATCCTATAAATATCAATTTTCCAAAGCAGAAGTTATCACAAAGTTTGCAAATTCATGCAGGTGGGAAAGATAATTTCCAAATGTCTCAACTATTAAACATATTTTTGGCAAGAATCAAATAATTGGGAAAAGTTGAATTAAAAGAAGGACATTCAATAATATATTTCTAGTCATATGACTTTTGCTAGCTTTTACTTTTAAGTAAAAACTGTCTACATTTGGCAAAGAATTCTGATATATTGGATTTTATTTGCATTTTGTCACTTATTACATAAATATATAGATATACACACACAAACACACACAGAAAACTGTTAATATCATGTAACTGAGTAAAGTCCAGTCTTGTCTAATTGGATACCTATAATTCTGTGAGTTTTTCATGGAAGATAATTATTCATGAAAGATAATTATTTAATATCAATTTCAATAATTTAGGTCACTTATAATGAGAAAAATATCTACCATTAGCTCTTTGGAAAAGATACTGGTCTAAATTTCAGGTTTTCTGAATAAGAGTTTTTCCATAGATATAAACATCTGACCCAGTAACTCAGAACTTTGCATTTATTTATAATCCATGTTCACAAAAAACATCGTGAATATAAAACATAAACTTGTTTTGCTATTGTTCAAAACTGTTTTTAAGTCTGGGGGAAAATATTCTGATGATTCTTTAAGCATATTCTGTTACCGTGGAATCTTCTTAAACATTTGATATGTGTACCACATGTAACAGATAAGAGCCATATCAAAATCTGCCACAGTTTAGGGAACCAAACAATCACTGGATCACAGGTTCTGCAAACTGAAGTCTTGGCACCCACATGAACCCAAGTAATGGGAACTGTGGGTTTTCACGCCATGAGGCCTCAACCCATTGGAATTTCCTCACTAAAACTATTATCAGTGTTTTTGGATATCACTTTGAGTGGACTAATATTCCAAAGGGAATCTCAATATAGAAAAAACAACTTTCTCAGGGACCTAATAAACTGAGGAAACATCTTGATAACCAGGGCATGGATCATCTGCATTTACCCATTCCTGAAGCCATTTATGTTCCCTACTGTCTTCATCACACTTTTATCTTCTATAGCTACTCCAAGAGTTCGAAGACCATAGAATTAGAGATTAGAAATATCAGTTTCCTTGTGGCTTGTATGTACTTAATAATGTAATATTATTATATATCAGATATATATCAGAGGTAAGGACCATGAATGAAGTAAGGCCATTTGGTTTGGCCATCACCAAAGGGAGCAGCCCATTGAAAGAGCAGCATTAAGACATGGACAGGAGAACCCATGTGTGAGAATAAGATAGTTTAAAATTTATGTAGGTTGTCTGAGTTGCTTTTAACAGAACTAATTAGATAACTACTCTTGGTAGCTACTTTAAAGATGACAAGTTTTGTGTGAATATGCACCTGTGAACAAAGAATAGATGTAGCTAGAGATGAGCTAAATATGTATTTATGTATTCAGTTTCTGTCAATATGCATTTAATTTTCCAAAATATATTAGTAATACATATTACCAATATTAGCTTATTCTGTTTTACTTTATATCAATAAATGTTATGTTACATGATATTTAGAAATATAGTACATACTCAGGAAAGAATTCCAATGTAATGTTTTGCCATTAAAGACACAATTGCATATTTTTAGTGCAATGTGATCAGCTGTTATTTTATGGGTGAGACATAAATATTTCTTTATGCATATTCAGATTGGATAACAGTGGTCACTTTTGTAAATTAATTCAGAGTCCTAAATACCACCTTCTTTCCTGGGAGAATTGTTGGTTGAGTAATTCACCATGCATAATAAACACAATAGCTTATTCTGTGATATAACATATTGATAACCACTGAAATTTAAGAAGAAAAAAATCAAAACCTTACAGTATAAAAAGTTAATTATAATAGGCCAGGGGTAGTTGCTCATGCCTGTAATTCCAGCACTATGGGAGGCCAAGGCAGGAGGATTGCTTAAGGCTAGGAGTCAAGACCAGCCTGAGCAAGAGTGAAACCCTGTCTCTACAAAAAATAGAAAATTAGCTGGGCATGGTGGTGCAGTCCTGTAGTCCCAGCTACTTGAGAGGCTGAGGCAAGAGGATTGCTTGAGCTCAGGAGTTTGAGGTTGCAGTGAGCTATGATGATGCCAGTACATGCTAGCCGGGGAAACAGAGCAAGACCCTGTCTCAATCAATCAATCAATCGATCAATAACAGGGAAAAGGGAGAATGAAATGGACAAACATTCTTGGTATGTATATCCCTGAGACTTGAATTGTTTTGGGAAAATAAATATACTAGTTGATATTTAAAAATCTTATCATTAATAATGTCTAATAGAGTATAAAGTAATAATATATTTGTGGAATTACAAAGATGAATACAGATTAGGATCAAGCAATAAGTTCTTACAAATATAGACAATGAGACATGATGAAATAGATCCTGAACAAAGCAATTTCAACTTTTAAGAAAAAAAAATATTTATGATGCTTGAAAGTTAAATGTCAAATGGACTAAAAAATTGGAATAAGCACAGCAGTTTAAGACCTGCTTTCTCTTTTTAAAAATATTATTTGATGATAGGAGTTCAAACATTAAAATATGAATTTAAATGATTTAATAAAATAAGCAATAAAATCAAGTATATTATTTTTATTACTGACATTTATCTATAGTAAATCAAGTATGAAGGAAATGCATTGCACTGACTATGCAAGAACTATGTTGCTGATTAATTGAGAAAACTCTTGGGAGAAAAGAAAAAACTATTTATAAAACTAAAATCATAAAATTTTTGGATGTGCATTTTATTTTACACATAAGTTGTAAGTCTTATGTTAATAAGTTTGTATTTCTTTCTAAATTTTGTATTATTTGACTGTCTATTGGTAAGTACAGTAACAGAACCATAAAAAAGATGAAGAGCCAACAGTAGTAACAGTAAATTTGGAAGCCTCTGGAACACCAAAGGATTCCTGCACTGGCAGCAAATGAACAGTCACTGAGGAAGGGACTACTCTTGCAGTCTATGTGGGAATTTTTTTTTTTTTTTTTTTTGAGACAGTGTCTCACTTTGTTGCCCAGGCTAGAGTGAGTGCCGTGGTGTCAGCCTAGTTCACAGCAACCTCAAACTCTTGGGCTCAAGCGATCCTACTGCCTCAGCCTCCCAAGTAGCTGGGACTACAGTCATGCGACACTATGCCCGGCTAATTTTTTCTATATATGTTAGTTAGCCAGTTAATTTCTTTCTATTAATAGTAGAGAGAGGGGTCTCGCTCTTGCTCAGGCTGGTTTTGAACTCCTGACCTCGAGCAATCCGCCCGCCTGGGCCTCCCAGAGTGCTAGGGTTATAGGTGTGAGCCACTGCGCCCAGACAATGTAGGATGTTTTTAGCAAGCTTGACAGGAACCAGGACCTTCCATAACATGTGCCACACCCCAGAATAGAACGTGCACAAATGGCATATTTGGGAGGGATGATTTACTATGACAATATTACTCACATAAAATTATGATGTAAGAAGCACACATGTAATATAAAATGCAGGTACCTCATACTCACACTTCTTGTGTCTAAGGAAAAGTCCTAAATGACAAATGATGTTTAACAATCAATCCATTTTCCAGGACACGCTTCATGGTCATGTGACATGTGCAGTCTTTCTGACTCCGCACTTGGTTTAAAGTTCTGCTGATGACGTCTTGAAATCCTTAATCATTTTAGAACAAGGGGCCTGCATTTTCATTTTGAATTGCAAATTATGTAGCCAGTCCTGCCATATATCAAATAAATCCAAAAGTGGGATCTATTTGCTTGCAGGTTACATCTTAATATAATCCTACCTCTCAGTAAGTTTGTGGACATTATAAAGACAGGTGATGAGAAACTTCACAGACCTTTTAACACTGTGTTACCTTATTTCTAGTGTCATGCTCTTGGGTTATTGAAGTAAATTGTCAACATTGGGTTTTGCAAATACATTCTGGCTTTGTGGAAGAAGAAATAAAGGTAGAAAATACAGTTACCCTCTGGTCATTCAGCCTGTAAACAGTGCTACAGATGGAATTTGTGTCCTCAGAATACATGCTACTTTCTTAGAAGTTAAACAGTTGTATAGAAATGCACTTACCATTTATACCAGTACCATGCTCTTTTGATTACTATAACCTTGTAGTATAATTTGAGGTTGGGTAATGTGATGCTCCCAGATTTGTTCTTTTTGTTTAGGATTGCTTTGGCTATTCAAGCTCTTTTTTTTTTTTTTTTTGGTTCCATATGACTTTAGCAACTTGGATGGAACTGGAAGCCATTATCCTAAGTGAAGTAATTCAGGAGCAGAAAACCAAATACCACATGTTCTCACTTATAAGTGGGAGCTAAACTATGGGAACATAGCGTCATATAGAGTGGTATAATGAACATTGGAGACTCCAAAGGAGGGACGGAGGGGGTGAGGAGTGAAAAATTACCTAAATCTACTGGAATTTTAAAAAATTGCTCCCCCTAACAGTGATAGCCTGGGCCTATTTTACAAAATCTTTATTTAGTATATTTTCAGCATTTTCCTGTCAAAATTTTACTTTCTTCCCCCAAACCCTTAGATTTGAAGTGGAAAATAATGTTGTTTTTCACATCCATAAAAATCAGACTTCCACCAAGTAAGGAAGGCCAAACATAGCTTGATTTACAGCTCTCCATGCCCATCAGGACTGAAAACTTCCCATTTTTGTCAGAAAAATGTAATTTATTTTTCCTTGCAAAAAATGTATTCTACATAGTATGAATTAGCTAAAGGACAAAAAACCCTAGAACATCTCTGTACCAATGGCTATAGAAAGAGAAGTCCCAATGATTACCATAATTACATCATTTAAAAAATTAAGCTAAACCTTCTTCATCTCCTGTAGTACATGGTCCTTTCAATTCTGAAATTAATATAAAGTTTGAAGAACTAATAATGTAATCCTATGACATATACTATTGTCCAGTTGATCAACTGGTGAGGCTTTTCCTAACTGGGTTATATGAAAATCCTGTTATCTTGCAGGAAAGCAAAACCACAAGCCAATAATTAGTAGTGGCAAAATATTTAATTCTTGGGGTTAATGCATGTTATTTTGGGGCAGGTTATATAAGGTAGGAATGTATAATTCGTGAGCAAATTGTCAGAAACTTGTCAATGTCTTTTTACGTTGCAAAGGGTAGACATATAAGACAAGAGGTGGGTGTTTGAATTTAGAGTTCTCAGGTCTATTATTAAATCAAACATGAGCACACTTTCTACATTCACAAGATTCATATCATAAATCAAATACTTTCATTTATTTCTCCTTCAAAACTTGCTTCATCATAACTATTTCTTTTCTATTAGACTTTTCAGGTGCTTTCCAATCTCTACCACTGCACTGGTATAAAATATGCAGTAGAGTCTCTATGAAAGTTCTAATGAATGAGCTAGAATTGAATTTACTTCTCTGTTCATGTGCATTACAACTGTCATTCCCAAAAGACATTTAAAGTATTTATTTTCACAATTATTTGAGAATCACCTAACATTGCCCTTTTTTGGAAATATGGAACACAGTATCAATGACATTAAAATATGCATTTAGGATCACAGGTGCTATTAAATGTTCATAATCATAAATTTATATAGTTGAATAATTCTATTCCATTATAAAGGTAAAATTATTTTTAAAAAGAGAAATTTTGGATTTTCATCATGATGAAAAAAATCAATGGCACACATCTGCACTATTTACACCCACTTACTCCTCCCTACACAGAAAAGCCAAATAGATTAAAATGTTATTTTATAACCAAAATAACAATGTTCCATGTATAGTCTTAATGTAAACTATTTCAGCTTACAACAAAAACAGAACAAAACAACCACATAAATAATCTATCCACACAATCTTATAACTCATGGTAAAAAATTTTCCCATGAAATTAAAAAATCATTTTAATTTAGTTTTTGACTTAGCAGATTATCATTGTAATTGTTATGTTTAAACTAATATTCCTGAGAAAACCAGCATCTGGAAGAATAAACTGAACCTACTACCTATTCTGCTGTACTGCAGAGAGGTTTCTGCTTGAGATTTAAATTCCACCATGTATAATTCCCAATTCATAAAGAAAGGACAAATAAAATTTAAAGGTAATTAATCAACATTTTGTTAAACAGTTAATAGCAGCTGAAATTCTTTTGAATATATAGTATTCTTTTTAATTTTATTAGGATACTGATGATTGTAATAAAGTATTCTTTAAAAGGTAATAACTCTTATATAAATAATATGCTATTTACTACCAAATCATTATTGAGAGAAGCACAATAAAAATATAATGTCTGTTTTCATTCCCAACTATGTTTAATAATAATATATTAATTCTAAGCCAACATATAAATGATTATTAATACTTTACAAGAATGTCCCATTTCACGTTTTACCTGTCTTTGGTTCCACTGAGAAATATGGCTGTCCTTGAAGAATACTGTAGACCACTCTAGCACTGTTGCCATATGTAGGATCATCAGCATCTGTCGCTGTCACTTGGACTACTGAGGTGCCTAGATGCCAATTCAGAAACCACTGAATTAAAAACTTCTAAACATCACAAAACAATATACAAAATGTTGTAGATTCCACATTATACTTACTTGAAATTTTTCATTTATCTTCTTTCAAAACACATAACAATTGATACACTTTTTTAGATCAACCCCAAAGAAATGATAAATGCTAATAAAATTCTTGAGATATTTAAGGGATATGCAAATATTTTGGCATGATCATGCACATTATATTGGGACATACTCAGAGTTGGATGGGACTGAAATTTTAGGTGTTTCATCCATCAGCCTCAGGTAATAAGTATTTATCAAGAGTGGTCTCTAAGAAACTCAATGACTGTCCAAAAGGAAGCATGGCAATAGCATCTTGGACACTAAAATTGTTGCAGGTATCTCACTGTTGTAGTTAAGAAGAGCCAGACAGAAACTTAAATTTCATTAATAGAACAAAGAATATTTGATCCAGCTAACTGGGTATGGAGTGGCTACCCTCTCTCTTAGGGAATTGTTTTATGTTTTACTTATTTCTACTAATTAATTTTAAAAAAATAGAAAAAGAAAATTTAAACCAAACTCTTCCAAAGGAAGAAAATCATGGCAACTTTAAAAATTACATTATTAATTATTTTTCTATATTACATAAGATGTCATTCTTTTCTTCATTTTACTATGTAAACATGTAGAATTTTACTATGCACATGTCTTCAATATAGAAAGCATTTATTCTGATCTTTTTAAATTTCCATTTTGAATGCAATTTTTAAAATATTAGAGACTCGTGTTTGCATAGTTTATATATTAAGTTATATACTATTGTATAATTCATGTCCTATCTGATAGATATCAGACAAGGCCCTTTTTTATATATTCTTTAGGGTTCTAATTTATTTCTAATAATTTTCCAAATATGGAATTTTAAATCTAACATCATTTTTAATGATATTACAAATGTAATATAAATTACATTTGTATTCCTATATAACTCTAAATGTCTTAGTCTTCAATGTCCATTTTGCTACAAATACATTCCATTTTCCATATTATGATTACCCTTATCAATTCCATTTTCTTTAACATTGTGTAGAAATTATGAACAAATGTATATGGCATCATATTTTAAATCCTAAAATTTTGTATTTTATGGACTTAGGTGATTATGCCATGTGGATGCCTGGTAGGACCAAGATAGTGAATAATATATATTTTTAAATCTTTTTGAGAATTAAATTTTGAATATTTTTAAAAGTTATAATAAATTACATTTATATTGTCTATTTTCTCTATAGTGTACCATCTTTACAGCAATGTTTATTCTGGTAATATGCTTAAGTATGATTTTCTACCTCATTTTAAAAGAAAACAAACAATTTTAAACAAAATAATAAAAACTAAATCAGTATAGAATATTTTTTCTGAAGTGTTCATTAACTAATTTAATATACATACATACACACATATTCACAAAGAAATTTAAAGTTTCCATTCTTATTTATGCTCTTTTGGCAATGAAACTATCATAAGGGCTTATTAGTGTGTTTAAAGTTTTATAGTTAATTAACATCCAATGGAAAAAAGACCCTTGAATATCAAACACTGAACACTTGCTTTGTATATACCATACTATTTAATAGCTATTATGTTTGGTTAGAATTCAACATTTTAATAAACTACAGTGTTTTAATAAACACTATAAATCCATATAACATTTTATGTATTACAGATATTCAGTGCTCTAACTTTTAATTTTTACACTCAGCAGTCTGAATTAGCATCAAGTAAATCCCAAAGATATTTGAAAAGTTTTAACCCTGTTTGAATTAGTCATGTAAATAACTTACATGTGTGTATAATAATCTTGCTTTTGATTCTGATATCAGAGTATTATCAAAATTAAAACTATAGTGAATTATATAGCTTCTAAAACAAAAAGTTCACATATACCCAACTTGCATAGCTACATTTTATGTAGGAAAGCATAACAATTTATGCTAATCTTAGTAAGCCAAGAATGCCCAAATTGCCCATGAGAACTAGAAGCATGAAGTTGAATTGAATTGCTCAAATGCACCTCAAAAATTCCTTTTTTAAATAAATATTACTAATTTGGGGAGGGAAGTGTGCTTTCTCTTTTATCTAAAACTTCAAAATCTTATTACCATTAGTGTTGTTGTTGTTAAGTAACAACAGCAGGGATGAGTTTGAATGTGTGGGCAGTATTCAGAAAGAGTGAATCAGGCTGCTTGGTCATAGAAATGCTTACTTATGTGCTAACTCCAGTAAGATCCTGCCACTGTGGTTCAGAATTCTTCCCAATCACAAGCATTGATTCTTCTGTCTCATTGTCAGTTTGTATTTCTCTAGCAGCTAGTCATAGAATCACTAAATAATTTTCCGTCTCTTATCTGACTAAAACAGAAATTTAGGGTCACTAAAATGTGATTCCCTTAAGGGCACACATAATATACATCTTTGCAATCCTACTCCCCAGAGTAGTAAGTGTGTTGATTGCATGATTGAATGAATGAACTAACCTTTATTTAAGATACAACAAATCACATTGGCTAAAATGCCCATGTGTTAAAATACGTTCTATTATTATTTTAAATAAACTTTCTACTTCAATATTAAAAACAGCAGGAAATAAATATACAAATCAACTGGTCTCTTTTCCAATCCCATATTTTTTTAAAAAAATCATCCACATTTAGATTACATACTGCCAATAAACTATTCCAGAAGTACTTGAAGAAATGAAATTTAAAATAGAATTTATATTATTTGATATAAATAAAGTACATATTAGAAATGTTTGCTATTTCTTTTTTCTAGTAAGGGGCAATGCTAATAGGCCTTTGAGTAAAACAGCCTTCATTATATTCTTATATATTTCCAAGTGGGTATTGTCTTACCATTGTTATAAATTCACTATAAAATTTCATACATTTAAGTTTTCAGAGAAATTACAAAAAAATTAATGGCAGCATGTGAATGGACATTTGTAGTCCAAGTACACTCACTGCAATTAAATAGATCAGTTAATCCAGATGTTAGCCTGCCTAGCCAATGATGGCTATCTTGATACACTGGCCACAAAGTCATTCTTCGAACAGTGAATCATTATCCTAATATCATGGAAAGAAAAGTAAAAATCATCACAGGCCTGAATCTGGAAGTATGTTGTTTTTTAACTTCCTAGGCATAATTGTAATCATTTAAAATGTGTGTGTGTGTGTGTGTGTGTGTGTGTGTGAGAGAGAGAGAGAGAGAGAGAGAGAGAGAGAGAGAGAGAGAGAGAGTGTGTACAGTTGAAAAGGGAATATAAGATATAAGTAATTTCTTTAGGATATTGAGATAGCTATATAAAACAAAAATTTTCCTAATTTTTCATATAAATAAAGCAATGCATGGAATTAAAGGGTACTGACCACTAACATGTCTCAAAGTTTCCTTTCACCCTGACAGTTGCTATACACATACTAATATGTTTTTTCCCCAGTTCTTAATGACAATTCAATTTTAAATACAAACCTCCTAAAATCAGAAACTCACTACGAAAGCAATATGTTCTTTACTTACCCACAGGAGACATTTCTGGAACTCCTGCAGTGTATGGACCATCCAAAAATTTAGGTTCATTGTCATTGATATCCTGAATTTTGATGACAAACTCAGACTCTGGCTCCACGGGTTTGTTGGTAAGCCTGTCCAGCGCTTGAGCTCGGAGCGTGTAGTAGGCCTGCTCCTCCCGATCCAGTCTCTTGGTAGCATGAATATCCCCCGTGTTCTCATCAATAATGAAAATGGAACTTGCCCCTTCGCCTGACAAGATGTATTTGATGGAACCATCTCCTTTATCAACATCAGAGTGAAGCTGGTGAAAAATTCATGTGAGATGAGATTAACTTACAAGAGAGTCAGTGATATGTAGATATGTAAAAATAATTCTTATGTCAGGCAGCAGTACACGAAATTTTATTGTTCTTGGAAAGATAAGCTGGACGCTTATTGTGCACAGCAGAAAGGCTATTAGAATATGTCAGCTTGTACGCGTGAGCAAGACAATTTCATTTCTTCCTGTAAATAGTCTCATTTCCAAAGGTATTTTATTATCATTCCCAAAGTTAGGAACTTGCTGTAGTGTTATTTTTGATTTGGTTTGTCCTTGCCATTTCTAGCCATCTTCTTTGAACAGAGCAGGCATTCAGTAAACATGTATAATTGGTTGATTTGATCTTATTCCAAGCAAACAGACTTTCTATAGAACATTTGTAAATTTGGTTCTAATGTATAATTTAATATGCTAGAAATACTCATATTCTTTAAGGGTGACCTTTTCTCCCTCCTCTCTGGCCCCTACTCATACTACTTTCCGTGATTAACAAATACAGATGGATATCCAGTCACTAACTCTGTCTTCCAAATCCTGTTCTGTGTTTTAAAATATAAAGCTGAAAAAAATTACACAGCTCTCTAAAGTGGGAATTTTAAATCAATACGTGTATGGGACTTCAACTAAAACCTTTCTTGAAATACCAAGAACTGCATTAGATTTGCATGATTAACCCCAGCATCAGCAGCAGAGGTAGCACCTACTGATTTGCATTTCATATCTGGGACTGTCCCTGATGTATGTCAGAACATTATGTTGAACAGAGGAACCTTAGGAAACTCAGAAATAATTACATATTTTCTTGAACTTCAAAACCTCAGAAACAAACTACTCAGTCTATCATTTCAACAATCTTTCATTCCCTATAACTGCTATCATTCTGGACTTTGATCAAAATGAATATAAAAACCCAATTTACCAAATAAAAAAAGCTTTTCAAGGCCCTACAGAACTGAGCTTGCATTTTTTAAAAGAATTAGGTGCTCAGAAATAGCAAATATGGAAAAAAAAAAAAACACTTAGGAAAGTATGGGAACAGTAGATTTTCATCCTTACCATGGTTTCCTGTGAGTGATTCTTCCCTTACACTATAACAACTATGTTTATGTCTGCTGCAGAGTATTTAAATACCTGGAGCAAATCTTTCTATATCTGAAGTGTTTAGTCAGGACTAAATAATAAAACAAAATAATTCTGCCTCAAGTTATAATTTAAATTTTTTCAACGTGGAATTATCTAGTGGATAACTGTGCCACATGTTTTATCCAGCATATGAGGGAAGTGTGTTCTTGAACTATTGTGAATTACTTAATTTTCTTGAGTCATTCTCAGTTTTATTGTTATGTACTTATCTCTCTCTAATTTAAGAAGGAAGAAATATGATAATTATTATAGTTTGAATTATTGAGTACTTCCTAAATGTCAGTCACTATTCTTAATATTCTCTACATAGCACTCATTCAATATTCACAACTACCCTTCTTAATCCTATCAATGGATGAGGAAACTGAGGAGGTAACAGAAAGGCTAAATACCAGGATTATGAAAGCTAGCAGGCTGGGGGAAAGCCCAAGTTTCCACTCCCTGCAATGAGATCCTGCCTCTGAGTCAGGATGTCATGTGTGGGAGCTGTCCTGTGTGGGAGGGGCACCAAGATTCCTGCAAAGGAGAACTTGGAGAAATAAGGATACATGCAACAAATCCCCACTCAATCACTCCCCGAATCTTAGAGAAGCTCAGTGCTTTGGGATGATTTCCATCAGTGCATTTTATGACTTACCAGAATGGTCTTTTCTTGCCATTATATAACAACAATAAACTCTACAGCACTTAACAATACATAACAAAAAACTTGACTCCTGAGACAAATGCAGATGATGAATGAAAATAAATTGTTTTTAACCTTCCAGGCCCTCAACCCACATTCACTGCTGCTCTCCTAATGCTCCCTGTCCCTCACCTGTGCTCATATGGGGCAGTACTTTGTGGTGTCTTGTCTACATGCTACTGTTAACATTCATGTGAAACATTAGAGGAACAGCCAGGTAACCATAAGAAATATCAATAATACATGGTTTGTGTCTTTAATAAAAAGTTTTCCCCACCCACCCCAAAATCACACTAGGGCTTCCATAATAGAACCAGCCCTCATTATTAACTAGTTTCCGTCAACTGATTGCTGTTTTAATGGCATGGTTATTTATTGTCACTGTGGTATTCCAGGTATGGGGAGAGGATAAATGTCTTTTCAATATAAAATACACATTAAGTCCTAGCTATGAATTTCACCCTGTGTATGCTATATTTTACACTATGGTGTTGTTGGTTGTTCTCCATTACTGACAGCATAAGAGCTTAAAAGTAAAAGGTTCATTTGGTTGTTTTTCCAATCATTCAACAGAAAGATTCCTTCTCTTCTACTATCCCCCCAACACTCACTCACACACAGACACACATACATGTCCTGTTTCAGAAGCCCTGAACTTTACTATCTTTCCCGTCACTGACAATTTTCTCCCTGCTGGTACTATCGCTAGGCTTGTAATCATGGCCAAAACTCACAAGCAGAAAATTGCTTGGAATCTAGACTCAGTGTCCTTGAAAGGTTAGTGTAAGCATCTGTGGTTAAAAGTGGTTGAGCAACTTTGATTTGTTAAGATGGGTACATAATTATCAGATACATTGAAACATTTAATCTGTGAGACTATGTACATTATAGTAATGTTGACAGGTAAAATGAAACTTGCGCTTTTAGTGAAAAACTACTATCTCTCCCTGCTGAAAAAAAAAATGCTCAGCAAAGAAGAAAAGTGTTGCAAATGTAGAAATAACAAATGACATTTTAAGTTGATATGCACAGACACACACACATCTTTGTAAATAACTGGCTATCACAAACAGAACTTGGGAAGTGTTAACTCTTCACAGTGAAAACCTATGGCTTTCAGGAAACAAAGTCGAAAACAAAAAACCATGGTCTGACGATATGGCAAATGAATAAATAAACAAATGACAAACACAACCCAAACGAAAAACAAATATTTGCACTCTACTGGGGACAGAATAGAACTCATAATATTATGTCTATTTCACTTGCAAGTACCCTTATAAATGTGATCCTGAGATTAGTCTAGACAATAGCCAATAAATAAATAAATAATCTCAGTTCATTAATTAGACAAAAATCATGTTTACAGCCTCAGTTCATGAATTTTTTTCAAAGTATTTGTGTGACTCTAAAGTAAATATATAAAGTGGTTTTTTTCAAATGAGCACAAAATGTAAGGAGCACAGAGCCCTAATTTGAGTCTATCTCACGATCAGGCAAAAAAGCAGGGGAGAGATATAATGATTATGTGAATCCTTTATGTTATTATGTCAGCATCATGTATGGAAAAAGGTAAGAAAGATCAAACTGGGTTGGACTTTCATAATCTACACAGGCCAGGAATGCAAAGGACACTGTACAAGTATCCCAAAATATCTCTCTTAATAATCCATTACAGTTCCATCATCCTGCTTGATAGAGCAACCCCATATGTCTATTATATCCTATTACTTTTTTCATTCTCTGTGAACTACACTCCTAGTTCAGAATCCTCCAACCTTTCACTTGGGCTGTTACAAAACTTGTCAGTTATACCCTACTTTTAATAACTCGCATTGTCCAGGCTGTTATAACACTTGTCAGAAGTTAAAATATACATTAAATTCCATCAAACCCTCCATCAAATATGGTTTTACATATTCATGAGTATCTTTACTGAGTACTAAAACATAATATTGAGATATGATATCATCTCACATTTGTACAGCAATATTGGCTCTGAAGGACTTTTCATGATGGACCAGCACATGAGTATAGCATGGGGCTCCCATGGCTGACAATTTCAGGGAGCATCTGTTGCTGTGGTTATGCTCATTTTAGAACATGTGGAAAGCACATCCTTGCTGAGAATTCAGTTCTTCAGAAGTCATTAGAAAGTGAGTGGAACATTTACACGACTGCCTCTTGATCATCATCCTTTGGCCTTTTCAGCATGCTCATGAAATATGTCTGATTGTTTCCCACAATTTAACCAAAAATTCTAGGACAGGGACTGACCTCACTTTTCCACCACATCTTACATTCTATGCTCCAAGAATGTTGGACAGGTCCTCTGTCTAAGCATAGCCAGCATTTCCCTTCTTTTCAACACATCCTTCATTGTCTTATGCACTGACATGAAATTCAGCCTAATACAAGTTCCCTTTTACTGAAGCTTTACAATTGTCCTATTATTTTTCATAGCATTTTGTTCAAATTTCTATGACAAATATCATTTAATTCTGCTTCATATTGAAAATCTAGTTTAGCTGTTTTTATAGCCAACTTACTTAATTTGTAAACTCCTTAAGAAATTAGGTTCTTTTTATCATCATAGTCCATATTCTCAATAAACAGTCTGTTGTACTAAATCTGGTAAATGTGTAATGCACTTTGTAAAATAGTAGTATTTGTTTCATTTCAATTTCTATCCTTTTAAGTTCTAATAACATTAAGCAAAAAACAAAACAAACAAAAAACATCCTCTATCTCTGACTTGTTCTCCGTAATCCTCTGAACCACCTAGATGGAGTTCAGATACCTCACTTTGTTGCTCATGGTAATACTATGCATGTTATTTTCTACTTTCACATTTACATGTTTGCGTTTCCCAGGAGACAGAGCTCTCGTAGAGATAGACGTGCTTTCTTATTTCTCTCTGTTTCCCCAGCTCTTCTTATACAGTACTTCTATATCCCTTTCTCTTTCTCTGTCTCCAATACACCACACACACACACACACACACACATACACACACACAAAAGTCCTCAAGGAAGGTAGAAAGATCCTTGCATGTTCTTGGATGCAAGAATCTTCATGGTATTCATTAATTATTTTTTGTCCACCATCTATTTTTTATTTTAACATTGTGGAAACCAAAACTAAAAACAGAACA